ATTTAATAAATTTTTTTGTCCATGTTACTCATTTAATTAATTATATATATTTGTCATTTTTAAACTAAATAAATAATTAACATGCATTTTTGTTTGCATATTTTTGCATATTTGAATGAAAATCAATGCATAAATTCATGCATATTATAACATAATAAAATATAATTACATACATATAATTAATTTAATTTTAAATGGCGGGACGCGATTCATATGTAACTCAAAAAAACTCGGGCCGCAATTGGGAAGAAATTTTTACCGCGAGACGCAACTAGTAGCCACCCAACATTATAGTAGGTATTAGTTATTATAATTATTACCTACCTACCTATATACTATTGTATTATTAGTATTATAATTTACTATTTTGAATAGATAATTTAAATTATTGGTCATTCTATATTTTTATAATTTGTAATTTAATTTTTAAATTTTTTATATTGACTTACTTGGTGTACAAAGCAGTCGTATTACTTGGTCCGTGGACAACAAGATTTGTAAATGCTCCGGATAATGTTATTGCACCTTGGCCTTTAGTTAAAGACACTTTTTCTATATCCATTGGTTCGAACGGCCTGGTTCCAATTTCCGGTATTCCTAATCCAGAATAATATTTTAAAATTAAGTTTGACAATTGATTTTCATATTACATTATATATTTATGTTTATATGTACATCAGTATATTACCTTTTGCCAAGTAAGGAAACATGTTCTGAAAAGTCATACGAATACATTCATCCAAATTCGGGTCTTTCTTTTTGCAGGCGTTTAACCAAACAGCTAAAACAATTCAAGATACAAATTGATAAAACATTAATTTTTTTTAAATTGATGATTGTTATCGTTATATCAAGATGATAGCAGGAAATATATATGTATAAATTGCTTATATTAATGGTATACATAATATACTATATGACTATATGTCATATAGTGTATAGTGTATTTATAGTTTGCGTTTTTAAACTATAGTTTTAAATATTTATTGTTAAAAATTATAAAGATTTAGATCACGTAAAATTAATCAAATTTTTGTTTAGGTTTCAATGAAAAAAATTGAATTGCAGTTGATTGTACCTATAAAATAAAGAAACTTAGTTGTTGATTCGTGATATTTTTTAAATAATGAGTTAGACAAACTCACTTTGCACCAAGTGTGCTAAGTTCCCAGTTTTTAAACGTATTTTAATATAGAATTTAAAATTTAAAATGTTCATTACTTTTTAAAATAATCAGGAAAAGAAAATTAGAAAACAACTTAGTACCTAGTATAACTACTATATAGTAATCGAGCTAGTTTACTTAGTCGTTTAACAGGCAGTTAACTAATGTGTTAAAAATTGAATTCAATGATAAATCATATTTTATGATGATTCTGAGTGAAGAAGGTCTAAGCTTTTGGTAAACAAGGTTTCAAACCATTGTTTTAATAATAATATTAAAAATTTTTTAATAAATATATAAGTATTTTTCTTAAATATTTTAAAAAGTGCTTAAAATTTTCAATTTGTCCACCTAAAAGTATCAAATAATGATACATTAAATTTTTTACAAGAAATCTTCATCGATGTTAATTATTAGATCATTTTTTTTTACAAAAAGCTACACATCATGGTAAAACCAATACATTCTTCGCTCCGCTCAAAATCTAATGCAAACATTTATTGAAATAATTATTTGGCAACCAAGGTAACTATAATTTATCTATAAATATCAATAAAAAAATCTATGATCGGTCAAAATGGTTGAAAATGTATCACACTACAAGGTTCCTTATAAGCTGATAATACGGAAATTAAAAAAAAAAGTTGAGCTAATTATTTTCTATTTAAAGATTCATGTAATACAGGAGCGAATCCAGCCCGAGATTATGGGGCGAATATTTCACTATTTCACATACAAAATAAAATATAATATGTGGGCAAGCGCGCATATATGTGTTCAAAAATAACTTACACGAAACAGTCATGTTAAATACAACATTGTAATCAATTGATAAATTGATTCAGAAGGATTGCTCTGATAACTGAGTAAATTATAAGGCCATATTGCCATAAAGATGCCTATAACAATTGACAATTGTCGTTTACCCGTCGACCACGGCACTCAGCGTGTTAAAATTAGTTTTGATTCTCTTAACTGGGCATTTTTTCTAAACAAAACACAGCTTACGGGGGGGGGGCACTCCACCCCCTACTGAATCCGCGCCTGATGTAATATTTAGTATTCATAGGTACCTAAAGTTTGAAAATGTTATATAAGTTATAGTAGGTTTCAAGTAAGTTTTTCTTGTAAGAACTAAAAATAAAATTTGATTGTAACTAATAATTTCATAAATATTATTTTAGAGTGTCTGTAGTTAAAATTCTACGAACTTGAGATTTTTTATTTCATTAGTATATTGTGTTTTACCTATATTATTATTTAATATAGCTCGGCAATTAATATAAATACATATTACACAACAATATAACATTACAATTGATTACAATAGTTGTAGCTAATAATATAAAAGATTATAAAGAAATTTAAGCTAATGAAGTTATAATGAAGAGATAATCATATTTTATGAGTGTGCAAATATTAAACAAGAAAAGTCTACGAAGAGAAATAATACCTTTTGCAATGTATATTTAGAACGCCAGAAAGAAGAAATTTTAGTGAATTTTAATTTGAAATTGATTGTGATATTAGATGATCATTTTGTAAAGGTGAATTTTGGTTTTTCGTTCCTTATTTAAATATTTGTAAGAATGGGTTAGGATGTGTGATATCATCAATGTTAAAGCATTTGCATTTCTTTATAGATATCAACAATAAATAATTCAAAATATGTTCAAGCTATAGGTACCTATAACCATTGATTAAATATACAAATATATTTAATATATTTAATCAATGCTATAACTATATGCTTAAAATATATTTTTTAACAAAAAAATGTAGGTAAATTGTAGCAACAATGTTTAGATCGTTAATGTTTTCCGACGTTATTTAAATTTGTACAATTTAAAATTTAACTCTATTCATTTATGATATCTGTGGGATACGATTTTAAGTAAATACATTATTATTTAACCGTATATTTTCAACATGCAAGAAGTTAAATGTCTAACATATACATTATAGCTTACATTAGTTACAGAAGTTATTATGTGTCAAACGAGCAATTTCATATAAATTTAAACTTTAATACTATAGGTAAAACATAAATGATTTGTTATGTAGGCAGTAGCTTAAATATAGGTGCTCATATGGCCATATAATAATATTATATTATTACGCATGACGTATGTTTTATGTAATATAATAATATACACACTTCAGAAAGTATTTAATAACATCGATGAGTGTTTAGGTACGATTGTTCTGAGTAGTTATCTACCTGGCTACCTCTCAATATCTAATAATCCGCGTAATGTTCATATTATATATATAGTCTTAATTCCCTTCGGTATATTATGTCTTCCGAAATCGTTTTCATCTGCATAATCGACCATATACGTATAATATAAATATATAATAATTACGTATAATATGTAATAATATATGTATGGTTTATAATGGGTATAGGTAATAATTTTTAAATTATTATCGCTACAAACTCGTGCGTCGCCGGAAACGTGTGGTTTTGCTTTCACTGGGTTCGAACAGGACCACATAAAAATACTGAGAAAAACGAGTGAGAGAGAAATAGGAAATCTTTTTTTTTTCTGTTACAGGCGTTTCGAACGCACTTTCATTAATGAGGGCGCTTACTTGATGGGACGGTCGCCGGACAAGCAGCAACAGCAGGTTATAATAATAATAATGTGTCAGCCGCTCCAAGGCGATATTTTATAATAATAAACAAACAAGTAACAGCTACGAGCGCAAGACTACGGCGTACACATATTATATTATTATTATTAATATTACCTATACACACACATCTACCGCTTGTGCGCAAAAAAACGTTCGTTCTTACATAATTCGATCGGGACGCGATCGTGTGCGGTGGCAACGACTGTATAGAATAACTGTCACACAGAATTATTATATATGTATAGGTACAATATTATAATACTCGTCATAAAGGTATATGTTATTACTATTGGTTTATTACATATTATTATTATGGCTATAACCTGCTCATATAATATGTTATTGTAGTGGCACCTATATACATATTATATGTACTTATTACTTACTACTATATGTACCATGTACATACATATTCCGCAGTGCCTATATATATGTAAATATAAATACAATGCGTAAGTTTCACGTGTATAACATATAATATTATTATGGAACGTATACTGCCAATAACGGTGTGTGATGGTGATTATGTAATCGCACTACGTTATTATAATATTATTATTTAGACGGTCATAATAATCGTTTACAACAAATCAACAGTTTTCTTGCACATGATGATAATATATTATTGTAAAACATTATATTAAAGGCGTATTGTTTTATCGCACATTATTCCAGGAGCCAGATCTGGGTGAAAAATATCCGATGATCATTACTATGATGTACACGACCTAGTCGTGCACCGGTTCATTGGTTGTCGCCTTGTGCGTTATGTGTAAACTGATCGTTTTTGACCTGTTTAGGAAGTAAATTCGTGCGCGGAATGCTAAAAGAAAACGCGGACTCGCGGGGATGTTGCGAAACGCCACTCGGGGTCGGCAGCAGCGCCGCAGCGGTAACAATATATTAATATCGTGCTTAGTGCACACCTCGTTAAAATGTGGATCGTTATCGTCGATTTTTTTTTGTTTTAAATTTGTTTTACATACAGTTGTTATGATGTACATAGTATTGACACGAATATTTGACGTCGCGTTAAAGTTGTTAAACAACGTTATTGTTGATAGATGTGATTTAAAGTCCTCAGAAAATATAAGATCAGAGAATGCAAATCGAATACGTAAAAATATGATATGTACGTTTGTATTACGCATAGTGTRGTGGTTACCTCTGATTTATAAAACAAAAAAATGCATTTCCACGGAAACATCAAAATATGTGGTCCGCTGTGTAACGCAAACGATTTTGATGATCACCCGCAAACGCGCATTCGATATATCATCTTCAATCAATAATAATAATGTACAGAATAACCGCTAGTGGATTAAATATCGATTTCAAGTCGGACAATCAATTAATAGTATCATTCCCCAGTACCCGATTAAAAAAGCATTATCCAACGATGCCGGAACGAAATCGTAAAATATTCGTCATTGGTAAAACTATAATTATATATATATATAATGAAAATATAATAATCGTATGATAACTATATAATAATATGTATCATATTATTTATTATAATAATTATTATTAATTATATAGATACTAAATTACGAATCCTTACGAGCGGTTTGAAGTGGCGGTATCTGGTCTTGTCGAATCGGCTTTTGGCTGCCACTGGCTTGGATCATCACTATGCAACCGAGGGTTGTAGCGCAAACGACTAAAGCCGTAAGAAGCAGCATCCTGTTTTGATCGGTAGTTCACACAGAAATCGTATGTATAGTAAACACAACAGATGTTTCGTGATCGTGGCTTTTAGCGGGTATGTACGATGTTGTGTGCGCGTTATAATGACAAACGTCGATTGAAACACACACACAAAAAAAAAAAAATTTAATAAATCAGTAAAAAATATCCTACTGAAATAGTCCGCGAGGGAAGGAAATAAAACAGACCAAATCCGTGCTAGACAGTGGACACACAGAACGTCGGCGTAATACTTGCGACCAGCGTATAATATTACAAGCGCCGAAGAAGACTAGTTTGAATGTGGTCGTCAGAGAAAGTTTTTATCCGACGGCTGGACGTACGTTCTGTACGTTTGATTGGTCTACGATGTATGTATATATAGTATGTGTATGTTTATTATTATTTTTTAATACCGAATTATCGAGTTAGTATATAATATAATATAATAATGTAACAAAAAATACAATTAAAAAAAAAAAAATAACACGACAAGTATGTAATATGCGGACATGTGGTTAAACGTATTATTTGTTGCAATTTAAAAACCTATTAAACRACGTAAATAATAATAATACATAATTATGATAATAGTACAAATAATAATAAAAAATATTTAAAAAAGAACACCAAATATTTACACGTAATTTATGGATTATTTTTAATGCACGATAATTCCTATACTTAAATTAGTAGAAAATCCTCTATCGGAAATTTGTGACACAATTTATTGGCGAATTTTTTGAATAGATCACCGATTGTTTCTTCAAGAATAGGTTTGAATTCTTGAGCAACATGTCTCCAGTTATCGTTTAAGAATGTATTCATGGCTTCACCTGCGAGCAAATAAAACAATATTATTAAATAAATATTGTTAAAAAGTATATATTAATCTTAAATAACAAACAAAATARAGTCATTAATGTTTGTCTTTTAATACATWTTTTTGTGACTTTATTTTTGTACATTATATATGTACATTCATATATTATCTATTCATGTTCCAGTGTTCCGTACCTACCGATTGTAAATATCATTAATGAAAAAAAGTAAATTAAGTTCAAATATACTATTGATATYTAATATACACTATACTTAAGTATAAATTAAAATTTGTTTGAGTTTAATATTAGTTATTGCATGCATATTGATATTATATTGAGTCTATCATGTTTATACACATGTAATATATTGTATATACTTTATAGTATATTTACCTGTAGGCAAACAAAATTTAAAAAAATGTATTTATTTTAAATAATATAATGCGTTTTAAAAACATTTTATTTTGATTTTTCAATGTTAGGCATTGGGTTGTTATTGCCAAGTCGTATTATTATACGTTTATGACGCATATTATATAGAACAAAAATAATCTTAACATTTTCTTGCAAACGAAGTTTTCGGATGATAATACGTTTCATCATGTCAAGTATGAAAAATATACGACACTTAGATTAAAGTCATAACTTAACCAAAGTATTCGTATACAATTTATACATTATATTCAAGGCTGTAGAAAGAACACATTTTCGAGGAGGGGGGGGGGTTAAATAAAATTATATTTTCATTGTAGGTAATTAAAAAAAAAAACAACTAACACATGAATTAAATTTACAACTATAAAATATTTCGGAGAGGAGTCTGAGGAGGGCWTCAAACCCCAATTATATACGGCCTTTATTATATTATAAATATATGAATAGGTATAAATATTTTTAATTTTTCAATGAAGTTTTTCAAAATATTTATTAATATACAGTATACTCGATAAAGAAAGTTTATTTTTATTCTATATAGTTAAGTTACATAGCTTATCCATATTTGATGTCTCAGTGTTACAAACGCGTACCTAACATARCAAATTTTACGTTCAGAAGTTCCAATTTAGCTACGTCAGTTTAAAATGTAGAATGAACTGACATCTTATAAAAATTAAAGGTAACATTATTATCTAGGTTATTACAGAGGATTTTTATTTAATTTTAATTTTAAAGTGAGTTATGAGTAAGTATATATATATTACCAAGTTCCAAGTCGCCTTCAAACAAGTCACTGAGGTAAATACTTGCATGACCGATTTGAAAATCAACGGCTACATCTTGGATATTGAAATGATTTCTACCTTCAATTTGAATAGTATTACCTTGGATGAGAACATTAGCCTCAATATTTGCTACAACACGAAGAAACCAAAGTTTAATTTAATTAAAATTTTTTATAMAAAAATAGAGCTGAAAAGCCATACTATAATTTCCTTCGCTTATACCATGTCCAGAAATGGGTAACATTAGAATTCTGCCTTCGATCGAATAATTGGCCGTCATACGCAGATGAGGCAACCAAACTTTAATTCGAATCCTATCTTTTTCCATATCCACTCTGAATAATTACAATAAAAAATTAATGATACACACAATTGAATTATGTATCCTTTAAATTTAAAATCTAATTTGTGTAGGTACTTATGAAGTTGATGACTATTTCTAATAACTTAAAAAAATATTATACTCATAAAAATACAATATCTAAAAAAAATTTAATTTTAAAGAAACCATAAAAATGTATTAAACTATTTTATTTTAACTTTATAACTTACTTAACACTTTTTAATATAAATTGACTCGGTCCATACACACTAATATTTCGGTAAATTGACTGTACGCTGACACTTCCTTTGTTGCCTTGGTTCATCACAATTTCAGGTATGTAAAGTGGTTCACAGGAGGGTATAAATAATTCCGGGATTCCTGATAAACATATTAGGCAGAATAGAAATGTTAATGCAATTGTACTATAAGAAAAGTATATGTATATGTAGTATATACAAAACGAATTTTACTGAAATGGGTTTATTATAAGCYTCGCCAAAATCATTCATAGTTCTGCTTAATAATCATCCCTARTTCTCAACATATTTACAAATTTGTAAATTTCATTGATTAATAGTCTTAAAATAAAATTAATCGCCTTTTTGTTATTAATTCCATCGTTTGTATACAATATAAATCAGAACTATTCAAATATTCATCTAGATTTCAGATATTTTTTATATATATATTCTTTATATCAATGTTTCTGTTCTATTGTTTTTCTGAAAAAATATGATCATACTTGTTCTCTATTTTTTTTTTTTTTTTTACGAATCATTAAAATTAATACTGGCCATTAATTGGTATCATAGGAAAATGTGAGCAGGCACAAATTTACAAGGTTCAAAAAGTAATGAGGTTATAAACGAGATTTTTAAATTATGTAAAATACGGAGACAGTGAAATTCGTGTAGGAAATCAAAATGATTTAAAAATGTAAGTAATAAATAGTCTCAAAAGTATTTATAATTTATAACTCCGTATAATATAATATATTTATTGGAGTATGTCAAATTTTAAATCATTAAAACTAAAATTAATTTAGTACGTTTTTGATTGAAATATTTTCAGCTCATCGCTATGCATTATTTAAATTAATAAAATACGTTTTTTATATTATTATTGATATATAACAAATAAAAATAAATTAATAGTTTACCTCTTGCTAAGTATGGCCTTACGTCTTCGATGGCGCATTTTATACAGTCGTTCAAATTTGGATCACTTCGATGACAAGGTCGTAATATTTTAGCTGTAAAAAAATATTATTAAGCTTAATTATTTTTATTTTATTATTTGGATTAGTCTTACATAGCCTTGTTGTTCGTGTATGGTCGTGAAAATCATTTTCAGAACGTATGTCAGTCATACAAAGTACAAGTGCCAAGAAACATAAATTATAATTACTACTCGTCATTTTTTTTAAATTTAAAATGTAATCTTTACGCTTCAAATATTTAGTAAGAAACCAGACACTAAAATGATAATCTACAAACCTGTAAGTATATACTATAGACCAAAACGTGTGGTCAAATTGTTTTGTACGCAAAAACAATTGTATATAAAACAATTGAAGTTTTCCGCGTTTACAAAGGTATATATAATTGCAGATGATGTGTTTGACTTATAATTTTTGTTTACTTTTATTAAAGGTTTTGGTTTAGTTAAGTTCCGCGTTGTTCACGCGACAGACGTGTCATTTTATCCATTATAAAGAATTAAACAAATTTAAAAAAAAAACAAATTTAGTTTCGAGAAAAAAATCAATTATTATATTATATATTTTTAAAACTAAATTCTGTTTTAAAACATTTTAAACGCTATTATAAACATTCTTTTACTAAATTGTAATGTATACATATATTTTTTTTCTTGTTTAACATTTGATTAAAGTAGGCTAAAAACCTATGTTGTTGAAGCTTTAATAGACTATAAAAAAAAAACATTCATTTTTAAATATTGCAATACTATTTCAAAAACATGTAATGTATTATTGTAATATAATAACGATTGTAAATATTATCTGACTATTTTCCATTAAAATGTTAAAATGTCGATTTTTAAACATTATTTGGTTATTATTTTTTTTTTTTTTACTGATCTCTCTAACTATATTTATATGTTTAATGTTGTCTTATTGTAATATTGTGTAGGTATATTGAATAAAATTACAATATATTAATAATACACATATTGCATTATTATTATATTACATAGAATTATTTATTATTTTTTGTTACATTTAGTTATGTAGTGGTATTTGAGTTTTTGTGTCGAGACTATTATGTTAAATAGGTACCAATGTATTATATTTATAAAAACAGTTTTTCATAATAAGATTTTATATTAGATATATTTTTAATCAAAAAAGAATTTAGTAGGTATCCATCAATGATATCATCCGTGTAGATTGTGGACTCAAAAAATATAATTAGTACAACTTATAAGTTTCTGATTTCTATTTAAGTATATAAAAAAAGTGTTCTCTTTATCATTCCGTTAAAAGATGTTTGAATGTAGTATTATATTATAAATTATAATTACCATTTACCAACCAATATTTAAATATCAATAAGGATATTGACACAGAGCAAAATATTTGCGAGTGGGGCAAGATTGCGGTAAACTAGATTTTTATAATGTAATTAACCTTGATTTTTAATCATAGAAACATTAGAAACGGTTTACTTCTTGAATTGATTGAAAACATAATTTATATTATTATTAGTTTATAAATTCGCTTCCTTATTCATTTTTATATGCCCAAATAAAGATAATCAATCTTAAAATTTCTTGGAATTTTTAACTTAGTGTCTAATATTGTTATTAAAACTATAATTAAATATGAGTTAATTTACAATTTAAAAAAAATATATCTATAATTACCTACTTACTCAATTCATTGATTTTATAATGATGTGTTTGTTTTCTCTTTTGTTATTAATTGTGTCTGTCATCACTCATCACATTTTTCAGCAGTAAAAATACTTTGGATTTTCTACTTTTGCATCTTTTCTGGTAAGAATGTGAATCTAGTTAATACGTTGGGTGGATCAAAAATAGCTCATTTGCCATTTTCTAAAGACCCAGGCGCGTATACAGGAGGGTTCAACCCTCCACCACCACCAAAAATTGTATTCGGTGTACGTGCCTGTATACTCCATACAACTTTCATTATATTTTTTTTATCATATTTTGGTTTTTTTTTAGCTATTTATTGTCATAAGAAAATTTCGATTGTTATTAGTTTTTTAAATAACTGTAGAACCATTTAATCAACTTCATAATTAGTTATAGCAACGTGTAATATTTATTTAACTGCTAAAATAATTCAGACAATAGCCTAAACTTATGGTAAATATAACCTTCTAAAAAAACATTAAACTAAATAACATCAATTCTCGAAATTACAAATCTAATGTGTTATTTCAATACTTTCAAATAGTTAAGACACTATATTTAGATTAAAGTTCCTATTCAGTTAAATTAACTGACAAATGTAGTTTATTTTAATGATTTAAAGAACATTTAAATAGTTGAAAACATAGCAAAGAGTCAAAACAACTATCATATATCTATTAATTTAATAGAAAGTAGAAACATAAAACTATGTTTTTTAAAATTATTTCTGAGGTTCTAACATAAAATTATTAGCTTTATATCGAAAATGATCATAAACGTTACTTATGTAAGTATTATAATTTACATTTAATTATTCAAACAATATGTATGAGGAATGCTTTTTTTAATCACCTGAAATATATTCAAGGTTGTAGCGTGTAGTAAGAGTAAGAGTGTAAAGAAATAGAAACTATATTTATTGTTTACTTTTTAAACGCTTCAGTCGTCTGTATTTTTGTAATCTATTTAAATTATACTATAGTAGTTACTTAAATCCAATGTAATATGTTTTTACAAGCAATATATATTTTTATAACAAAATAATAAGCGTATTAAGTAGATATATACTAAATATACACTACCATTTAATCATTTATTATGCTCTTGGTTTTGCCATTCTTCTGCAGGATTTTTTTGTAAAGCTTTTTATTTAGCTTTATATTTCAACATTCTTGAAGTCATAACTGTAAGGGTTTTTTTTTTAAAAAAAACTATAGATAATTATTTTTCGTTACTATGAAAATAAATATAAAACACTAAAAAATATTTTCTGAGTTTTTAATTAATATTTTTGTATAGAGAAATCAATGTGGTTTACCTATAATAGGCATTATAAATAGTTTATGAAAATTTCAAAGAGTGATATTTATGTTAAATTTAAAGATATTATAGAATGTAGTTAGGTATCAATGTGTTATATTTGTCTTCGTTCAGAATCTATAAACTAATATACTGGAATATTTCTGTACACTTTAACAATAATATATTATGGTTAATGTTAAATTGGTACTACCAAAATAAAATTCAACTTCACACTGACCGAAGTTCCATCAATGATGATGGCCTCTTCAAAAAATCAATAACCACGTCTTCCTATCACATATTACTATTAAATTTATCTAAATTATTGTATTCTAATCTTAGATTGTTTTATATACGATAATAAATGATTAATGTATAAAAAAAAATTTTAAATACTTATAATGTGAAAAATGGAAGAAAATATACAGTAGGTACTTARCACTTATATATCTACCTATTCTACCTATCTAATGCCTACAAGTGTAATCTCGAGCTCTCCAAACGTAATGAAATGGTTTMTAATAATTAATATTTCAAAAAACGATTTATCATATATTTAAATGTGCTTATGTGTTGCAACTTTTATTTATAAAATTCGTGAAGAATTTTTACAGATAGCGTGAGAAATATTATATCGTTAGTCGTTATTTTAGTTATGTTGATGTTATTASTTTTCCAAATTACACATGAGTGGTAAACAAATATGATTTTAGCGGAAGTATTTAAGTTTTTATAACTTTGCATTTATAACTTAATCTACAATATTGGGTCTAAAATATTGTTAATGCCATACTCTTATATTATTCATCACTAAACATTTAATATTATTCAAAATTAATCACTATAATTATTAGAAAACATACATATTTTAACTGCATAGGTATAAATAACTTATAATTTTCTTAATAAACTTCATATTTTGAATATAATAGTTTTTAAATTAATAACACTACAATAATTATGAGTGTCTACAAATAAAAATATATAAATAAAAAATGTAATAATAAAGTTAGAAAAAATTATTGCAATTAATGCAATTGAGTATCTCTCAATCAGTTTTCAAAACTTAACAAAAAAGTTTTTCAACAAATAGATATTATTGAGTGTTTTCACGAAAATCGATCTTTCTGTTTTCCACCGTTTATTATTTCTTACTATAATAATAGTTAAATATTGTGAAAAATAGTAATTTTCGTATTTTTTCAGACGTATGGTTTTAGTTATCATATTTTTGTAATAACTCCTAGGGCGTTTAATAGATAATGACCTATAAGTACCTTTTAGTCACTCATAATATGTTTATTCACGTACAATTTTGATTTAACCTTGGCGACGGCCGATAGGCATTTGTATTATATGGAAACGATTGATACCTATTACATCTTGTAAATTCTAGCTACACTGTCAGTTCTCTATTGGGTTCATTCATTTACCTGATAACCCTCAAGAAGAATATACCAAATTAGTGACCTGACACAAGGTTATTTCCAGTGCCCGATTATATATATACCCGGAGACTGTTTGGCGAACTCCCCACAAATTAATAAGTCATTGATAGAAAGAGATTGAATTTTATCTAGCTCTTTATTTAAGTTTAATATGACAGTTAAATTAATAGCATTTATTTTTTGCATAACCGTGATTAGTGAAATAACTGGTCCATCATTGCGTATGTATATATTTAAAAATTTTAATTTACCTATAATGTAGCTACTGATTTTAGGATTAAAAAACAAGCTCTTTTTCAGCTTCATACCTTCAACCATGCAATCGAAACGACCCTGGTATTAATGAGTGTTTAATTAAATTGATGGAAAATATTCGTCCCTATATCAGTAAAGGAATACCAGAAATGCACATATTACCTCTAGATCCAGTGATGGTGCCATCTGTGACTTTGAAACAAGATTCAGCCGGTTCAGTTAATTTTGTTGCACTGTTTACAGATTTGATGGGTTATGGAGTAAAAAATTTTCAAATAAACAAAATGAAGTAAGTATTTTAATGATAAATTTACTAGTTTAAATGTTTAAATACCTTTATATACTCATACATCTATTTAAGCAGGAGTCTCCAACAATTTCCAACAAGTGAGCCTTGTTAAGCATTTTAAATATCTGTAGAACTACCACTAATTGCATTTATTCTTCAAGAAGATAATGGGCCTACTGAATATGTTCATGTGATCATAGTTCTTTATAATTGTATTTGTATATTATAATATAGCAGCATTAATCTTTCTATCAGCTAGAGAGGTCATGTTAAGAGACTAAAATATTGAAGTGTAATCGTATGGCACAAAGTTTAATCTTTAACACAAAATAGCAAAACTTAAGAATTTTCATTGTACACGCTCATGACTATTTGCTTATTCAAATTCAAATTAATAATAAGTGTATAGTGATGATAATTTAAATAGTTCATATTATGAAGACAGATATACCTATATGAAATTATATATTTTTTAACATTTAGAATTTAAAAAAAAAATTATTTGTCTACAAAAATATGATTTTTTTACAGAATTAGTTTCAAAAACCAATCATTGGAGATCGACGTTTATTTGCCTTTGTTCAGAATCGAATCCAGGTACGAAATCAATGGTAAAATATTAGTTCTGCCTATTAAAGGAAATGGCAAATTCGTTGGAAACTTTAGTAAGTTACTGAAAGTAAATTATATTAGCATTTAGAGATAAAAAAATATTCACAACATAAACAATAATAATTTAAGGTAAGTCAGTGACGTACCCAGGATTTTAGTACTGTGAGTCAGGGGTTTATCTCACTTAAGCAAGAGGCCACTGTATAAAAACTTTAACCAACTATGTATTGCAAAATACTAAGTCATTCCTTGCGCTCGCGATTTACCTTATTAATTATTTTTATCACATTTTGATACCAAAATTCTATAACTAGGTATATGACATAATTCATTTTTTTATAAGATTTAAAATTTACTTACAAACTTTAGGCATTATTAATTAAATACTATTTTTGTTCAATTTGGTACATTTTAAAGTTAATCGAGTATAAGTCTGTATATCAGTGGTATCATTTTTGAGGAGAGGTAAGGTGGGCATTTGCCCCCGTCTGATTCGAAAATCAGATCGATTAGTCTGTTTCTAATTATTTCTGTTTAACATTATCACATTTTACGAACGCAAAAATATGACTATACTTTTATAATCTTTTGGGAAAATATATTATATCTAGCTGATCCCCGTGCACATCGTTGCCCGTTAAAATACTAACTCTATATGATTCAAAGTTTTTGTTTAAATCTTCGTTTAATACCTGGCTAGTCATGATCAAAACTTCCTGTAACGAATTCTCGTGGATTTACTCTATCATAACTTCCATTAACRATTTTTAACACAGTCATATAAAATACAGCACTAAAATTATATTCAATCATAATATTTTATCGCATTTTCAGCTTTGTAAAGGTGAAACAATTTTCAAAGTATTGGTACCAAATAATAATTAATTACTAATTTCATATTCTTCCATACTAAATTGTATAAAAAATTTAATATTGGTTAAGTAGTTCCAGTGATTAAACCGAACAAACGGAAACTTTCTTCTTTATATCATAATAACCCTTTTTACCTCTGTAGGAGTTGATTTTCGTAAAATACTTTCTTAGGGGGTTTTCACATCATAAAATGAAATTACTAAATAAATTTCATACTTATAGCTTCAGTGATTCCGGCAAGGTGATTTTTTWAATTTTTTTCACCTTTTATCCCTTTTAAGTTTTAACCCCTGTTGGGGTTAATTTTTGAAAATCCTTTTATAGTGGGCGTTATACACCAAGAAACAAAACTACTGTCCAAATTTCACACTCATAGCTTTAGCGGTTCCGTTTAAGCACTATATAAGCAATGAATGAATAGGGGCGGTCTCCCATATAGACGTGTATTAAGAAATTATTGTCCCAACGATAATTAATAATTAATAATAAATTGGAATATATATAGACACATGGATGGATGCACATGGAATTTGGTATGTGCGTTTTCGAACGTAATTAGTCGTTTTTTTAAAGTTAGTATTCTCAGATGAAAACATGTATAATATAATATACTACTTACTTTTAGGAGAAAATAATCCAAAAACTTACTGAACTTAAAATGTAGATAAATAGATAATATCTAAATTCTACACTTTCAAGGTAATTTTTACCTATTTTATATATAGGTACTATACACTTATCTAAATATTTAAAAATAAATAATATGTTTTTATTTATAAGTTAAAACTATACTACTGAATACTGATAAATATATAAATATAAAATTATTTACTCCTCATAATTAATTATTTTAGATTCTGAGTGGAGTGATGAATGCATTGATTTTACAATGATGTGTTTTTTGATTTTTTGTATTTGTGTACACGATCAGTTGTTGAGATAATGCTTCGATTTTCAACCTCAGTAGCTTTCCCGGTTGGAAAGTGAGTCTAATTGGGACATTGGGAAAGTCAAATTTCGAAATTCTAAGTAGTTCTCAAAAACACCGGAAAAAACAAAAAAAAATTAAGGAAAACCGGAGGGTATTTTAAGCTTTTTAGCGATTTTTGATAAAATCGAATTTTGATATTGATGTAACTCTAAAAAGAATTAGGTACCATAGACATATGAAATTTTCACTGAATGTTTAAACAGGCATTTTATGTGCTTGATAACATTTTCAAAATATATCAAATATTTTTAAGTTATTAATAGACATTTGAAATTTTTGATCATTTTAGTTTTTTTTTTTTATGAATGACATTAAAATTTTATTCTTTTGGTAAAAAAGCTTGGAAATTTAATACAAAGCTCCTAATATATTATTCCTTATTATTATTATTTATTTATTAATTATTTAATATCCTTATTTATTTATATTGCTACAATGCAGTTAAATATATTAAAAGTACATTGTCTCAATTTTTTTTAATAAGCATTTAAAGTTCAAATCTTGACAAAATACGTAAAAATCACGAAAATTTGCAATTTATTTTGAGTTAGAAATTCATAAAAATGTATCTTTTTAAATCTAAGATTTGATAATTCAAAACAAGATTCTTCATAAGTTTTTCTACTTATATCAAATAAAAATGTCTACTGAAACTCAAATTAAATTTTTATGAGCATTTGAATTACAACATTGGATATTCACTTTATTTCTGTTGTATCGATATTCTTATTTTTTTGTTATTCAAAAACAAATATATGTAGAAACTTAAAACTTACACTAAATGTTTATTTTATCAATTCTTATACTTGATAAAATTTTCAAAACTATTTTTTAGTTATTTATAGACATTTGAAATTTTCCATTTTTTTAGTTTTTTATTCAATAAAATCTTATTCATCATTGGATCAAAAAACTTGAAAATTTAATACAAGGTTCCCCATAAGTTTATATTATAGCAGTGGAAAATATAAAAAATACATAGGTATGTTTTTTTTATACAAACATTTAAAAATCAAATTTTGACAAAAATTATTAATTGAAAATTTACAAATTCTTTGGTTGTTAAAAATTTATAAAATATTTAAATCTTATAGCTTAAGATTTAAAATTAAAACAAAGTTCCATGTAAGCAGTTAATTCTGTGGTAAAACTATTGCAGAATAACCAAAAATTACAATTTTAGCTATACTATTGTAATTTAAAAATATTATTCGAGGGTATTTTAAATTGTTTATACCTTTTATGAATGACTGAGTGAGTAATGTGCATAATAAATCTGATTTAATGAATTTGGAATTTATTTTAGAGATACCTAATATTTTTTCTTTGAAATAATAACAATATAATTAATATAGTATAGGTATAATATATCATAGACTGACAAACCGTCTCCGCTCAGAATCGTTTTTCGTATACAATGATATTATATTATTTTATTCAAATTTAATACTGTCCATTACAGTAACCCATTTGTTAACTACTTTACAGTACAACGACATCTACTTACTCGCTTTTTATGTTTTTAGCTAATGTTTCAGCAAAGATTAAATTTGATTTAAAAATTGTTAAGAAAAAGAATCACAAAAACTTTTTTGATATTAAACAAAATAAAATTAGTTTGGAAATAGGAACAGTAAAATTACATTTTAGTAATTTATTCAACGGTAACAAACAATTAGGTAAGAATTTTGAGGCATAATCTTCTTAGAAAATTTATATTCTGGTTAATTATTTCGTTAAATTGTTGTTTTAGGTGATCATACAAACCGGTTTATAAACGATAATTGGAAGGACCTAAAAGTGGAGATAAAGCCGCTGCTTGAAGACACTGTTTCTTCCATAATCATAGGTATTATCAAACCAGTATTCGAGACATTTAGTATGGACGATATATTTCCAGTCTAGACGACTAAATATAATAAAGTGTCTTTGTTGTATTATTAAAAAAAAAAAAATGAATTTTGTTAAATTATAAATTGAATAATAGTAATATTACTTATATGTATATATATGAATAGTTGTATAAAAAAAATACATTGCATAGATCATGACCATACTGGTGAGAATGGGACCCCCCACAAATTACTACCCAACATCTAGTGACTAGTATTGGAGATTAAACAATGAATATATAACTGTGAAACTATATAGGATATTTTAAAGGAACAAAAACAATCAAATCCTTTAAAGATTTTTACTAAAAGCTCAGCTATATGCGAAGAAAAGAGTTGAAAAATAATATAAAAAAGCTGTTACGAGTTCATGTACTGATATGTTCAAATTTATGTCAATGCAAGTGATACTCATGAGTTGAAAGCAAAAGTTAATATATTTTGTGATTGCAATTTCCAACCTATTATAGAAACTTTCAAATATCTTTTAAATTTTTAATAACCTTTTCAAACAAAGGACGGGCTGCTGTAGTGAATGGGTAAGTGAAATTCGACGGGCAGCGATCCGGTTGTAATATTTTACATAGAACACACGGTCAGTCCGCTTCCTGTTTGAATGTACTTTAATATATTTAAAGACATTTTTTATAAAGCGAAAATTCTTTTAAAATTTAAAAATAGAATGTAATAACTTTCAATACCTATGGTTACGCAAACCGCCGGTTACAGGTGTTAATGTATTACACATGATAGTTGATATAATATTAATTTTTTCCGTCGCTGTTTAAAGACGTCGTATATTATTTATAAATTATTAAATGTGATCAAAGATGTGACTTAATTGTGTATCAAAATTATAAGTTTAATCATATTATAATGGAGGTGTTAAATGGTGTTGTTCCCATCGTGGTTGTCTTTCAAAAGTGTAGTAGGTACCAATTGAGTATAGGTTAGCCATGGGTACTCCATCCAATGACGTTGAAATCGCAAATTTCGTTTTCCACTCACAGGAAACTTATAATCGTTTGGAGAACACCAAGAGTTGTTTAATAATATTGTTCTTTGATGCTCAACTCACTAATATTAGCATTTACAAATTTTCCAACATCAAGCATACTCACAGATTTAACCGCTACTAACTTATTGCACTGACCTTCATTTCCTCGTGATGATTAGCACTTAACATTTCTAAGCTGTCAATTTTAATTTTTTTTTGATTCTGGTTCTGTGGAAATCCAAGATGATAACTTAAATTGTGAAGATTTATTTATTTTTTAACTTTCACGTATTTAAATGAAAAATTCACGAATGCAACAAAACAGCTATGCACCGAACAAATAAAAAACAAATAAACGTCGTGTACTCGTGTGTACGATTTAATGCACTTGCCGCTCCATGATTACTGACCATCGATTACCAAAATAATTAAGAATTAGGATTAGATGCTGTAGGTATTATATGTGAGCTATACATTAGKTTTTACAAAAGTACATTAAGATTAGTTATCGCTTAAATAACACAATATAAATATAAAATATATCGTTTTTTTACTTATGTGTTGTTATCACARTGACACGTGTRTGATGTACAAGTTTYAAATATAATAGACATATAAAACTATTCAATCTTATTTTAACAAAAAAAWTCGGGGCTGGGRGGGATTTGAACCCTATAATATCCCCCGGGCTACRGCCTTGTATCCCTGAATTATTTTTAACTGTGTACTTCATAGTCCATAAAAAGTTCTACCTCTTAAATCATGTCTCCCAAAAAAATTTCGATCGGTAGTTGTACGCCTCAAGCACGAAAGAAAATGGAAATACAAGCTTAAAAAAACAATTAAGCAAAGAGCCAAAGAGATTATAAATGATAATTAAGCCTGTCACTTTTTAATTTAGCCTATCTTCTACCCATAGTTCTAATATATTTCTGTACCATTCCAATTKCTGAACCAATTGCGATAAAATTAATTGGTATAGAGATTTATTGGACCTATTCGCAGAATATAGGCTAAGTTATAAAGTGATAGGCCATCCAAATACCATTCAATTGAATACCACTTGAATTGTCAGACTTTTCTCATAAAACAAATAAATTTATATAATGATAAACTAAATAATTGAGTATCGTTGTAAGATTATTACTTAAATACTTGATATATTTTAACCGTTATCTCTGTATAAAATTATACTGCTAGCATATTCACAGGTACCTAATGAATTTAACACACAGTTTAAGACATATATAAGAGAGGTAGAGTTAACGGGCTACGAATAAGTGCATGGGTTCAGTTAGTACCTGTTATAATATTTTCAAAAAATAAAAATAAAAATATATTTGTGAAATAACGATTATTTTATTGGATGGCACGTTTTCACATTGATCAAACCTTTTTTCTATCAAATATTCACATTGTATACAGTTCACAATAATTAGGTATTAAATACCTGCTTTTATATAATATTGCTTTGCTTCGAAATAAAACTGTAGACACTTATAAAAATATGCTTAAACAACTTGTTAAAAGTTCAATGAATTAGGTTTTTGATATTTATGCCAAATTTATTTGAAGCTGATTTGAAGGAGCAATCAATATAATACTCATATGCTGCCTGTGTAATGTTTCCTTTATGTAAAGTAATAGGTTGTAGATTCCATTTATCGCAATCTTGATTTTGGGTTTTCTTCTGATTACAAATCTATTTGTTCATTTATCAGCAGAAGATTTTATACTCATGAGTCAATAATGATGAAAYTATTAAAATAGGTAGGTACTCAAGTTTGAGAGCGCATTATTATTGAATAAGCTTTCTTATTAAATACAAAAATCGCAACATTAATAATTTTAAATATTCATTTTTATTGCGGTTGATAATAGTAAATGTGTTAACAAAAGGTGTTCAAAAATAAAAATAAATACATCGATGTATAGTTAGTGAATTCGTGTCTCGTGATGAATACTAATAAAGTTTTACAAACTACAAAGTGCATATCTCGCTAAATGTGAAAAAAAATTGTAATTACGTTAA